ACCCCAGCTGGGCAGGGGGTCCTGGCCAGGAGAAGGGGTCCCTCCAGGGGTCCCACAGCACCCATAGACCTGCTCCGGTCAGGGTCTTGAGCCAGGGAATGTTCCTCTGTCCCCACTGTCCCCTCCCAGGAGTGCTGTGTCTGTCCCGTGGAGCTGGGCATGTCCCATGGCCCTATGGATTTCCCAAGGAGGCATGCATGTCCCATGGAGCCATCCATGTCCCATGGACCTATGGATGTCCCATGGAGCCATACGTGTCCCTTGGAGCTGTGGCTGTCCCATGGAGCCATCCATGTTCCATGGAACCATAAGTGTCCCATGGAGCCATATGTGTCTCTTGGAGCTGTAGGTGTCTCATGAAGCCATCCTTCCCCCATGAACCTATGGATGCTCCACAGAGCCATCCACATCCCGTGCGCATCCCACGAGGCAGGTCCCCCATTCCCCCCCTCCGTGGGGCAGCAGCCCCCCCACCCCACCCCACCCCAACTCCCATTTTGGGCTCCCCCACCGAAGCCTTGCAGGACCCCACATCGGCGACCGCCTTTCCTGGCACATCCCTAGAGCCAGACGGGCTTCCAGGCTGTTGTTTACAACTCAGCCGAACCCTTGGCAATAGGGATGTTTTGCTGTGCAGTTAAACCGGCTCCGGTTGCCGGCTGTGGGCGGAGGGGCCCTGCCCACCCTGCGATTAAACCCCCGCAGTTGCAACACGGTTGGGGACATGGGGGACACCGGGGACACACCCAGACCCGTACCGCGGACGTCCAGTAGCCGTAGGAGCTGGGGAGCCACGGCACCGAGTCGCCATCCCTGGTGTGGCCCCTGCCAAAACCAGGTCAACGCCGGGGCCCCGGGCGGTGGCTAATCCTCCCGGCAAATCCCCACTGCCGGCACATGTGCCGGGCACACGTGGCCGAAGCGGGATGAGGACGGTGGCATCGGCGGGACTGCCTGACACCCACCGGGATGGGGACGGTCAAGGGGTGTCGGGTGGGTGGGGGGGCAGTTGGATTTTGAGGTACTCGGGTGTGTCGGCGTGTGCCCACGCGTGTGCCGTGGTGGTGGGGTGTGCGGATGGGGGGTGCCGGTGTGTGCGGGGCTGCACGTGTCCCCGTGCACCCGTGGCTGTGTCCCCGTGTGCACACGTGTCCCCGTGGTACCCCTGCGTGTCCCTGCATCCACAGGGAAGCGGGGCCGTGGGGCCCTATGCCTGGCATTGTCCCACTCCTGGTGCCCGTCCCAGTCTCGGTGCTGGTGCCTGTCCCTGTCCTGCTGCCGGTGATGGTCCCGCTGCCCATCCTCATCCCTGTCCCTCTCCCGGTCCCTGTCCTCGTCCCGGTCCCCATTGCCATCCCTGGCCTGGTGCTGGTCCTTGCCTCTGTCCCTGTCCCGGTGCCCATCCTGCTCCTGGCCCTTGTCCCTGTCTCGGCCCTGGTCCCTGCTCCCTGCCCCTATCGCCATCCCGGTCCCTGTCCCTGTCACTGTCTGGGTCCCGGTTCTCGTCCCTGTCCCCATCCCGGTGCCTCTCCCGGTCCCTGTCCTCATCCCCATCCCGGTCCCGGTCCAGGTCCCTGTCCGGGTCCAGGTCCCTGTCCCGGTCCTGGTGCCGGTTGCCATCCCAGTCCCCATCCCGGTCCCTGTCCCTGTCCCCGTCCCGTTCCCGTTCCCGTTCCCATTCCGTCCCGGTCCCGGTCCCGGTCCCTGTCCCCATCCTGTTCCCGTTCCCGTTCCCATTCCGTCCCGGTCCCGGTCCCGGTCCCT